ATCCTTGTTATTAACTTGAATATCATACTTCATTACTTGCTTGTTATAAATGAGATGGTGTATTGGATTGGGAAAAAGGGACGAGGTGTGTGTGCATTTATTGGGCATTCAAAGCTCACGGCATTTCATGCCAGGTATTGAAGACTATTAGACTGGTCGAAGGCAAAGCTGAAGTATTTGAAGACATATGGCTATCCAATGAGAGTTAGGAACTAGTTATGTTAAATGTGTTTTGAGATTGTAAGTGAGAGATCCTATGTTGTATTTAAGACATGATTTTGTAATTTGTATATATATAACATTTGTAATCTATCCTTATACTCCGTCAACTCATGTAGGCCTTGTGTTAATACCTTGTCAAGATCTGTCAAAAAGGTAGGTTTGCTATCTAAGGTGGTTGGACTTAGAAGGGAGACTATTTTGACTCCTTCGACCTTTCTGGGATCTTGCTTGGTTATTAGCCAAAGAACTCATTAGTGACATTTCCTACTCTTGTAACCTTAGATAAACCCTATATTTAATGGTTAATATATTATTTGATGTTCCCGATTTTTGGGGCATCACAAGTTGTCGTATGGAATTATGTCTACGACGAATATGTTTAGAGTTTCCATTACACATATTACTCTGTGCCCGTCCAATAGCTGATTTGTTGTCACAACAAATACATATAGATGGCACAGGATTCAACCAATGTGGAATATTTTCAACGAAATAGCGAAGCCATTCCACCTCTTCTGTTGCTTTATCAAATGCTATAAACTCTGATTCTATCATTGATTATGAGATACACGTCTGCTTGGAAGATTTCTAACACACGATTACCCCTCTAAGGGTGAACACATAACCACTAGTGGATTTTGAATCCCTAACATCAGATATCCAATTTGCATCGCTATAGCTTTCTATTACTACTGGATATCTGGTGTAATGCAGCCCATAATCCCAAGTGAAATGGAGATATCTTAACACCCGAACGATACTCTTCCAGTGAGTGGCATCGGGATTACTCGTGTATCTACTAAGCCTGCTAACTGAGTAGGCTATATCTGACCTTGTTCAACTCATCAAATATATCAAACTTCCAATGACACAAGAATATTTTAGCTGAGAGACACTCTCACCATTATTCTTGGCCAAGCGTAGACTCAAGTTTATCGGTGTCCTAGACAAACTTGTATCTGATTTACCAAACTTCTCAAGTATCTTCTTAACATAGTGAGATTGAGAAAGTACAATACCATCAAATGCTCTGGTAATCTTAACACCTAGAATTACATCTGCAAGGCCCATATCTTTCATATCAAACTTAGAGTTTAACAATCTCTTGGTAGTTCTAATAATCTCATCATTACTACCAACAATGAGTATGTTATCAACTTATAGGCACAAAATGACATAACCTAAGTCAGTGTCTTTGACATATACGCATTTGTCACACTCACTGATTTTGAATCCATTTGACAACATAGTGTTGCCAAACTTTTCGTGCCATTGTTTAGGAGCTTGCTTCAAACCATAAAATGATTTGACAAGATTACAAATTTTCTTATTTTGTCCTGGAGCTGAAAACCTCTTCAGTTGCTCTATGTATATTTCGTCATCTAAATCTCTAGTTAAGAAAGCTGTCTTTGCATTCATCTGATGTACCTCCAGACCACGTAAAGCTGTTATCGCAATCACCATACGAATGGATGTAATCCTTGTCACAGGTGAATACGTATCAAAATAATCCAGGCCTTCTCGCTATCTGTATCCTTTGATAACTAGCCTAGCTTTATACTGGGTTGCTTCATACACCAAATATAAATACTAAACTATACCAAATTCTTTTAGAATAATGGCAAGTCTACGTATCAATCCACAGGGATAATTGTGAAATTAAAATAATTTAAATGCTAAATTCCTAAATTAATTTTGATTAAAATGATTGAGGGATACTTTGACTAAATAAGAATTAAAAGAAATTGAAAAATTAAATTGACAATTAAAAGTAGAGTTTGAGATATTGATTTTTGGGAAAAATCTTAGGGCAAAGAATTCACCACTAATCACATAAATTAGATTTAACATTGGCTATCAATTGCAATCCGGTTTGAAATACCCAATATTTCACAACTACAAATTTGAAATATTGATCAAGAGGGTTGTTGCATTTGAAGTTTGAGAATCCCTCTCCTGAAACCCTAGCCTCCCTTTTCTTTCAAATAATTTTCGAACACTTTTACAATCTATTTTCCTTCTTTTTATTCCCAGTAGAATGGACTGAAAATTTCATGCACGCAACCCAAGGTGGCCCGCTCGAGCACCCATGTGGACCGCTAGAGCGGTGGTGGGCCGCACATGCGGTGGAGCTTGGCTGCACGTATGGTGAGGTGGCTGGCTCGGATTTTTTGCTTCTCGCCCGAAGAATCTACTTTCGCGCCCTTTTTGATTGGATTTGCGTATTTCTTGTGAAATCTTTACAAATGCACAAAACACATCATCTCCAACAAATAAAGAAAATTGAAAGACTATAAATTTAACTTAAGCGACCTCAATGTAGTACCTTTCGGCCCACATCACATCCCCCAACTTACATTTTGCTAGTCCTCGAGCAAAACAAAAGAAATAAGAGAAGTAAAATAACTCTATGCCACTTTCATAGGAATCACGATTGCATTTAGCCTATGCAACAAGCCTTTCAACCATAAGGTTACCCCAAGTGGACGAGTATAGTCTCGTGAGGGTTTCTAGAAATGATACCCACAAACATCAACATATTCATATCTTCTTAACAACAATTAACCACACTATGCCACATAACAATCAACTTATGTGCCACTACAGTGTGCTATTAAGACATGATGAGCCATTGAAGGCATAGTGGACAAGCATGAAGGAATCTATTGAGCAAAAACCATAATTCAATTAATACAAAAGTTAAGTCCCCTGTAGTTGTGCATGCTAGTAAACCCATCATCAGTGCCCTTGGTGTAAAGTGCATCCCCCATAACTAGTTAACTGTCCACTATAATAGCCTAGTGTAACTCATAATAACACCTAACATATACAGAAAAACAAAACTTTTGCAACCAAGATTCTCATCAAATATATATATATATATATATATTTTGAAAGATTGTGCAATGTCCTAATCTATTTGGCTTTCTAATCAATCCATGTAACAAACATTGGGCCAATGACTCCCAAATCAGACAATTTTAGGGCACTAAGTGTGAAGACACCCCTACGGGCTTAATAACTTGAGCTGAAAAGGCTATGAACCCGAACAAGTTTTTATTTTTCCTTAACTATGCAATGTCTAGGTCCCTTAAGCTTTATAATTAACCCATGTAGCAAGTATTGGGCCAATGACTTCCAAAGCAGACGGTTTTAGGGCACTAGGTGTAGAGACACCCTTACGGACTTAATAACTCAAGTTAAAAAGGCTACGAACCCAAACAAGTCAAGTGTGTGTGTGTTTTTTTTTAGTTACTCGTTTATTCTTTTCTGTAACGCTAGAAATTATCAATGATGTACACATTACATGCGAGTATCTACCCAATATACCCTTTTCATACAAGTCCACTATGTTTCCCAAATAATATATGCTTATATCACTATTATACTAGCAAAAAGTGAACATCAAGTGAAGTGGTGCAATCAAGTGCAGCAAGTACAAACATGAATTGTTTTTATAAAAACCCTTACCCCCAACTGGAAGACAAAATTGTCCTCAATGTAAGCAACTAGAAAGTAGATAGTAAAATGAGAGAGAGAGAGGATCTTACCAGACGGCATAGGCGCACATCCAGCGAGGCAAGAACACACCAAACACACACACACACGTTTTTTTTTTTGAACAGTACATGATAAAAGGAAAAGAAAAATAAAACAAAACAAAAATAAACAAAGAATTAAAACAAAGAAAATACAATGGATATCACTGATTTGGATCCGATGGTGGCAGAAAATGCTGCTCAAATAGGGCATGCATCAGCATCTGAGTCTCGAACGCCTCATCATGAACCCTAGCACCAAACTGATCAAACTGCTGCTGGCTCAACTCTCGGTATGCGTAAAAGTCAGTTTGCAGAGATGCAACTGACTGTTGATACCCATCAAAGGCCATTTGCGAGTGATCCCGGTATTCTTGATAGTTTGCCTGGAGATCAACCACAGATTGCTGAATAGCAGCTTAATTATCCAAAAGAGTTTGATATTGCGTCCGTGTGATACGGAATGGCGGTGGCGCTGGGGCTGGTGTGGCGGCGGGCTCTACTGGAACATCATTAGGATTGGCTGGGGCATTGGGAAGGAGTAGTGGAGGCTGTAGGCGAGCAATGGTTTGGTACTAGTGGGTTTTACCATAAAGCGTTGGTGGTGGAAGCTGAACCTCATTAAGTTCAAGTGGGTATGTCCCTTGGCCTTTTATGAGTGCAGTGATAAGATTGGCGAAAGGGAGGGCCCATGTAGAATCACCTCGGGTGTTGTGCAACTTGTCTTTATTAAGGATACGAAAATCTGGTTGAAGATCAAAATAGGGATGTCGACCCAAAACTCGAAGTCAAATCGGTGCAAGGCATGGAGGAAGTCCCCTCACCGCTCTTCCTTATGGCCTAGAGGGATGACACTCTTTTTTAAACCACATCAAGGAAGATGAGGCGACGTGGTAAGTTAGCCCGCCAGATACTAGTTCGATTGTCATCATCCTGTCGCCCTTCATAAAATTCAGTCACCAGTGCGGGGTCTGTGAGTTCTCGAGTGAACACCGGGAACTGCTCTTTATCGATAGTGTCCATGCAACATTGGAGAACCTCGGTAATGGAAGCTGGTGTGACCACTAACTCCACCCTGTCAACAATGGACAAAAGAGCTCTCGGGGCCTCATCATTGGTGTACATGTTTTGATAAAAGACTCGCACAATGTGACGATACGCCGGTTCAGTGACGGTGCAGATGCCTAGGAGGCCTCGGTCTTTAAGTTGTCGAACACTCCACGTAGTGGGTTGATGGCGCTAGAAGAAGTCCACATGAAATGGTGTGTCATAGGCAATTGGTTTGTTGGCCCAGGTGTCGGTTGGTACATCCCTAGCGGCGATGTTAGCATTACGAGGCAGTTTGGGTGCTTGGCGGGATGATGTAGACATATCTACACAAAATAACACAACCAACACAACCAAAAACGTGGAACTATTATATCAGCACTCATCAATAGCGCATGCATACATAAATCTCTCAAAACCTCATTGTCATTACACCACCGGATTACTTTTATTTCAATTTTTTTTTTTTGTTTTTCTTTTGTTTTAAAGAAAATCAAAATCAAATAAATAACTACCTTAAAGAAAAACAGGCAAACCAAAGTATGAAATAAAAGAAATAAATAATTATGTTAGTAGCGGAAAAGAAAAGAAAAGAAAAGAAAAGAAATAAAATAAAAAGACAGAACATACAAATAAAAATAAAAATACTACTAAACAATTAAACTAACATTTAAATCACTAAATAAAAATAGAACTAAATCACTAACTAAACAATTAAAACAAAAATAAAAACAATCTACTAGCCAATTAAACTAACAAGAACCGCTAACTAAACAATTAAATTAAACTACATTATACAAAAATAGGGTACAACAAGCTAAATTATTATTGGTTTTTTTTTTTGGGCTGCACGTGTGCTGGAGATGGAACCACTAACTAAACAATTAAATTAAACAACTACATTATACAAAAATAGGGTACAACAAGCTAAATTATTATTGGTCCCCCCCCTCCTTTTTTTTGTTTAGGTCGCACGTGCGCTGGAGATGGCTGCACGTGCAGTGGTCTGTTGGTTCCAGCAGCAATTTTTTTTTTGTCTATGAGGATGACAATGATGAACACAATGATGAATAAATCTCAAAAATAACCATTAAACTACTATATTACAAGTGAAAACTAAGAAATCTAACAAAAAGAGGGTGATTACCTTAAAAAAAATAGGAAGAAAAGAAAGGAAGAAGAAGATGTAGATCCGTCAGAAAAAATGGCTACTGGAAGGTTGTCGGTCGAAAAATATGGAGATGCTCCAGTGGAACGTGGTAGTGAGAAAAAGGGTGAGTGAAAGTTGAAGGAAGAAGGAAGAAGAAATTGGTGATAGTGGGGTATGATGAGTTTGTGGGATTGTGAGGGAGATATATATATATATATATATAGAGAGAGAGAGCGAGAGAGAGAGAGAGAGAGGGAGGGAGAAGAAAGAGAAGAGAGGTAAAGAGAGAGCGTGGTGGGAAAGAGATGGTCAAAAAGGGAGTTAGGGTTTGGCTTAAAGATATATATATATATTTAGAAATAAAATCTGTAGAAAAACAATATATATAAATAATAAAAAAAATGAAATAAAATCAGCAGATTTTTTTTTGAAGGAATATAAAATAAATAAACAGAAATAAATGAGAAAAGAAAAAAATAAAAAATAAAAATAGATGAATAAATGAATAAATAAATAAAATAAAATAAAATTTGCAGGAATTTTTTCTTTTTGAAGAAATATAAAATAAGTAACTAAAAATACATATTTATTTTTTTTGGACCACTCGTGCACCCAAGGGACTGCACGTGTGGTGATTTATGGGCTGCTCTAGTGGCAAAAATGGGCCGCTCCTGCGGTGTTGAAGCAGTGTGATTTTGGGTCTGGGCCGCTGCTCGTGTGCGCCATTTTTTTTTTGGGCCACTCGTGCGCCAATTTGGACCTCACGGACGTTGATTTATTGGCCGCTCTAGCAGGAGAAATTGGCTGCTCCTGCGGCGTTGAAGCAGTGTGCATTTGGGTTGGGCTGCTCGTGCGGCCTAGTATTCCACTCGTGCGCCCATTTCTGGGACCTCCGCTTGTGCGCCTGTGTGGGCTGCACGTGCGATCTGTTGCATTTTTTTTTTTTAATACCAAGGACAACCTAAAACATGCCAAACCAAAATATTTCAACCATTTCTACCTTCATTTCATATCTAAAATAAATATAGCACTTTGAAAATATCGGAATGCTCAACAATGGTATAATTTTCACGCGAAAACCACGGGTACTACTTTTGTCTCTAACAATATTTATAACTTTCCCTATTCTCCAATAGGGTGATAGACTAGGTTGATTCAGTATCTAGAATTGAGGCGCATAAAGCTAACTTGACCTATGGGGCTGCCATACAGAGTTCAAGCTGGGGTGGTTTTGAAGCAATCTCCACACCCCTGGGTATTTAAACCAGACTTTAGTCTCAAAAATTCCAAACCTTTGAGTTCTAGGCTTTGCCATTCAAACTCTAGTTTCCACCGTCTAAGTTGGTCTCCTAGGAACTCACTACAAACACAGTTAGGTGGCTATACCAGACCGTCAGATGCCGTTCGGGCACGACAAACACCAAAGGAATTACACCTTTAGAGGACTTAAAGTCTCTTAGACTCAAAGCAAGTACTATGGAAGATATATTGGGTCCGTCAAGTGGACAATCTCAATCATCTCCCCTTTCTCAATACCATCCACATAGTGTTTTAATCTTTGGACATTAACCTTGAAGGTCGTACTATCTTGTGGATTTTTAATTTCAACCGCCCCATGCGGAAAGACTTCTATAACCTCATATGGGCCATCCCACCAAGACAGGAGTTTACTTGGGAACAACTGTAATTTAGCATTGAACAACCACACTTTTTGATGAGGCTCGAAGGACTCGCGAGAAATGTGTTTATCATGAAATGCCTTAGTCCTAGCATTGTAAATTTTGGAGCTGTCATATGCATCATTGCGGAGCTCCTCTAACTCATTAAGTTGGAGTTTCCGGCAGTCACTGGCTTTGGCCATATCAAAATTAAACTTCCTAATGACCCACAAAGCCCAGTGTTCTAACTCAACAAGGAGATGGTATGGTTTCCCGAACACAATCCTATATGGAGACATCTCGATAGGTGTCTTTTATGCAGTGCGATAGGCCCAAAGTGCATCAACTAACCTAGTGGACCAATCTTTCCTATCAGGCCTCACAGTTTTCTCGAGGATGTGTTTAACCTCCCTATTAGAAACCTCTACTTGACCACTAGTCTGGGGATGATAGGGAGTGCTAACTTTGTGAGTGATCATGTATTTGCGCACCAATGCCACAAAGAATCGGTTACAAAAATGTTGCAACCGTCACTAATTATGGCATGTAGGAACCCAAAATGACAAAAAATGGTCTCATGGAGGAATTTAACCACAACCTTGTGGTTATTCATTTTGGTGGCCATTGGCTCCACCCACTTGGAGGCATAGTCCACAACCGCCAAAATGTGTTCAAATCCAAAAGATGGTGGAAAGGGACCCATAAAGTCGATGCCCCAAACATAAAAAATCTGAACAATCAAAATAGGGGTGATCGGCATCATATCTCACTGTGACATAGAGCCCATGCATTGACAACACTCACACGCTCTATAGAAGTTATGGGCATTTTTGAAAATAGAGGGCTAGTAGAATGCACATTGTAAAACCTTGGAGGCCGTTTTTTGCCCACTGAAATGGCCGCCACATGCATGAGAGTGACAAAAGGTGAGAATGCTATGGGTTTCACTCTCAGGCACACAACGCCAAATTACTTGATCCAGACAATACTTGAACAATTCCGGGTTTTCCTAAAAATAGTGCTTGACTTATGAGAAAAATTGGTCTTTGTCTTGCTTAGACCAAGTTTTCAGAATTTGACCAACCACTAAGTAATTCACTATGTGAGCAAACCACGGGGGGGTCACGTGTGATACCGCAAGAAGTCGCTCGTCAGGAAATGAGTCGTACAAGGCTAAGTGTTCACTCATGTGCTCAATAAAGATTCAGGAGAGATGATCAGCAACTACATTCTCAAATCCCTTTTTGTCCTAGGTTTCTAGGTCAAACTCTTGAAAGAATAGAATCCACCTAATCAGCCTAGGTTTGGTCTCTTTCTTTGATAGTAAATACTGCAAACCGGCATGATCAGTGAAGACTATGACCTTGGAACCTAGGAGATAGGACCGGAATTTATCAAGGGCAAAGACCATAGCTAGCAACGCTTTCTCGGTGGTAGTGTAATTCAATTGAGCATCAGATAGAGTACGACTAGCATAGGATATAACATGGGGCACTTTATTCATCCTTTGGCCCAAGACAATGCTGAGGGCATAATCAAATGCATCGCACATGTTTTCGAAAGGAAGGGACCACTTAGGAGATTGCATGATAGGGACAGTAGAAAGAGCTGCTCGAAGTGTTTCAAATGCTTTCAAATATGCATCATCAAAGATAAAAGGTGCATCCTTAGCAAGTAAACTACACAAAGGACGAGATATTTTACTAAAGTCTTTGATGAACCTGCATGCCCTAAGAAAGACCTAACTTGACGCTCAGAAGTGGGTGGAGGAAGGCCTGCAATAAGGTCAACCTTAGCTTTGTCTACCTTTATGCCTTAAGGGGACACAATGTGTCCCAACATTATACCCTCACAAACCATAAGATGGCTCTTTTCCCAACTCAAAATTAGGTTTGTCTCCACATAACAAATAAGGACTTTAGTTAAGTTCTGGAGACATTCCTCAAAAGACAGCCCAAACATGGAGAAGTCATCCATGAAAACCTCTAAAAATTTCTCCACCATGTCAGAAAAAATGGCCATCATACACCGTTGAAAAGTTGTTGGTGCATTACATAGCCTAAAAGGCATGCGCCTATAAGCAAAAGTGCCAAAAGGACATGTGAAGGTGGTCTTTTCTTGGTCAGCGGGGTACACCAAGACTTGATTGTACCCTGAGTATCCATCAAGAAAATAATAAAAACCCTGACCCGCCAACCTTTCAAGAATTTGATCAATAAATGGCAATGAAAAATGGTCATTTCTAGTCATGGAATTTAGTCCCCTATAATTAATGCACACTCGCCACCCAGTAGTGGTTTGTGTGGCGACCAACTCTCTTTGCTCATTCTCAAAAACAGTGATGCCCGATTTCTTAGGCACCACTTGTGTGGGACTCACCCACTTGCTATCCGAGATGGGATATATAATACCCGCATCCAACAATTTTAGCACCTCTTTTTTCACCACCTCTTTCATATTGGGATTTAGCCTCCGTTGCATTTCACGAGAAGGTTTGGTGTCCTCCTCTAAATGTATATAATGCATGCACACGGAGGGATCTATCCCTCGCAAATCAACCATTGACCACCCTATAGTACTTCGATGTACCATGAGAACACTCGTTAATTGACTCTCCTGCTCTGCAGTCAAGTTAGATGCAATGATGATAGGTAAAGTATCCTTTGGCCTTAAAAAAGCATACTTGAGTGTGGCTGGGAGTGGCTTCAACTCAAGTGTAGGTGGTGTGACAAGAGATGGTATGGCATGCTCTATAGACAAAGGAGAAAGGGACTCAAACCGAGCTTTCCATGCAGAAAAATCCGGTATAGAAGAAGAATTAAGTAAGGCATTCACCTCATCAACTGACCCGTCAATATCAAAATCCTTGAACCCAAAATGAGCCAGACAAGCCTCTAGAGGGTTCTCTACAAGAACGGAGGGTAAAGCCTCATCCACAATCCCATCCACAACATCCACAAATAAACACTCCTCTCTTTCATGGGGTTGTTGGGATGCTTGGAAAACATTGAGTTTCATTTGCACATTCCCAAATGAAACTTCCATAACCCCGATATGACAATTAATACATATATTAGCCGTAGCCAAGAAAGGTTGACCTAAGATCACTGGGATTTGTTTCCTAGAATTGGCTATCGGTTCCATATCTAAAACCAAAAACTCAACACGAAAATAAAACCTATTGACCGTTACTAGCACATCCTCAATCATGCCAAGCCTCTAGAGGGTTCTCTACAAGAACGGAGGGTAAAGCCTCATCCACAATCCCATCCACAACATCCACAAATAAACACTCCTCTCTTTCATGGGGTTGTTGGGATGCTTGGAAAACATTGAGTTTCACTTGCATATTCCCAAATGAAACTTCCATAACCCCGGTATGACAATTAATACATATATTAGCCGTAGCCAAGAAAGGTTGACCTAAGATCACCGGGATTTGTTTCCTAGAATTGGCTATCGGTTCCATATCTAAAACCAAAAACTCAACACGAAAATAAAACCTATCGACCGTTACTAGCACATCCTCAATCATGCCACGTGGCACTTTGAGGGACTGGTCAGCCAACTGGAGAGTAACAGTAGTGAGCTTCAACTCGCCAAGCCTGAATTCCTCGTATACAGAGTATGGCAACAAATTGACACTAGCCCTAAATCTAACAAGGCGCTATCAATGAAATGATCCCCTATAATGCATGCAATGGTTGGGCCACTCAAGTCTTTAAGTTTAGGGGGTGAATCACTCAATAAAATGGAGCTTGCTTGCTCTGTGAGTATGACTTTTTGGGACATGTGTGTCCTAGATTTACGCTTTTGCATACAAAGTTTCTTTAGAATTTAGCATAGGAGGGTACTTGCTTAATCGCCTCCAACAGAGGGAGTTGATTTTTACCTGTTTGAAGACCTCCATCATTGCTTCCATGGACACCGCCTTCTTATTAAAAGGGAATAGTGTATCAAGGCATTAGAGAAAGGGTGCCTTAGGCACATATGGTGCCTTAGACTCATGTGAAGTACTAGGGACTAAGTCATCCCCCTTAAGCGTTTCTCCCTCACCCTTGCTCTCTTTGGGTTGACCACCGTGATGACCCTTCTTAGCCTTAGTTGCGTCAAACGCAACTGGCCGAGGCTCTAAGTCCCTCCCACTTCTCAAGGTAATCTCCGCTTGCACTTGCTCATGGTGCTTTCCATTCCCACCTGACCCCTCTGCCCCGTATTGACCCTTAGGATTGGCCACAGTTTGACTTGGTAATTTTCCCTCCTCTCTCCTATTCATGTTATTAGCCATTTGACCTAATTCGGCCTTTAGCTTGGCAATAGAGTGAGTATGAGAGTAAACTACTGGTGCTAACTCTTTAAGTTCTGAGAGAACTTCCAACACTTAAGTCTCAAAGGTAGAGTTACCTTAAGGAACAGACAGGGGTTGTGGTTGCCGGTAAGGTTGTGGGGGTCGATAAGGTTATGGTGGTCAGTAGGAAGATTGGTTGGCAAAATTATTAAAATTATGCCTTGGTGGTGGAGGATTGTAAGAAGTGCCTTGGGAATGAGGTCTCCATGAAAAATTAGGGTGATTTCTCCATCCCGAATTGTATGTGTTGGAATATGGGTCATTACTCGGTTTGGAGAATCCTTGAGCCACATTCACATGCTCTTGGACTAATTCTGAAAATTATGATACGGAAGGACACTCACTCAAGTCATGAGCAGGGCTCGCACAAATAGCACAAGCCTCGTGAAATTGAGGTTGATCTTGTTGTGTAGGGCCATGTCCCGAAACAAACAATTGGCCTATTTTGTGGGACGATGCTTCTACTTGTTGGGCTAACTCTAGGTTTTGCCCTACCTCATAAATGCCCCCTCTTTTCAGGGCTCCAACTATCGGTTGCTGGACTTGCCAGGCTGCAGAGGCATGGTGAAGGGAATTATCACTCAAGTTCTCAAATAGTTGCCATGCCTCGGCATCATTTTTGGACATGAATGTCCCACAACAAGAAGAATCCACTATTTGGCGGTGAGGCTCAGTTAAGCCATAGTAAAAGGTTTGGACAAGTTGCCAATCAAGCACTTGATGATGGGGACATTGTTGGAGAAAGTCACGAAGTCTTTCCTATGTCTCATGAAATTGCTCGCCATCAATTTGAGCAAAATTGGTGATAGCTCGCCTGAGTTGGTTGGTCTTACCAATGGGAAAGTATTTTTCCAAAAACTTCTGCCATAATTGGTCCCATGTTATGATAGAATTAGCAGGTAAGGAGTTCAGTTAGTGTTTGGCTTTGCCCTTTAATGAAAATGGAAACAA